TTTTTTTTTTTTTTTTTTTTTTTTTTTTTTTTTTTTTTTTTTTTTTTCTCTCCTGTATATCTTCTGCCCACACTCCAGCTCAGTAGGTGGCGGTAATGCACCTTACAGTTGGTCTGCCAACCGCCATAAAACAATACTAGAAGAAGAAGAAGAAGCCTTGGTGGTAAGCCTGTGTGACACTCCTCCTGCTAAACAGGCATTTCACTGCAATCCTTCTCCTGCTGCAGGTAGGCAGAGCTCGGCTGCTCAGGAGCTTCAGTTTTATGTTGTGACGGATTTATTCAGGCAGTTCGTTTGAACCGAGTCCACATTCATGTTGTTTTTACAGCTTCCTGATTGTTATAAGAGTTTTGTGCCAAAACTGTAAAAGTTCATGAAGTTAGAAATATCGAAAGCAAGTTATTTTACATACTGGTTAGTTTATAGGATTATTTGCTTCTGCAAAAACACGTTAAAGTGATTTTGCAACAGCACAACCTTTAAATTGACCACATTTAAGAGTTTTACAAGCAGTCATTGCCAGTTTTTATTGGGCAGAATGCCAGTGATTGCATACAACTGCACATTTTAGTTTGCATGAACCTTAAATATAATAATTTGGTTTCTTTGTGCTGTTTTTAACAAATCTAATTATCCTCTAGAGGTGAACTATGCTCTTTCCTCTCAGCTTCAAAATGAACAGCTTAGTTAATTAGAATACCCTATAAATTATAAATTTCAGATATATCTGATGCAGCCAATTGATACTAAGGAAAAACAAAAATGTAATTTTTATTCCAGTGTTTAATTTGTCTCCCCCCCCCCCCCATTTTAATTAACAGATGAGACTTCCGCTTCGCTCCTTTTGCATCTTCAGTAGTTTTTTTTGTCGGAGTCGAACAGCAGCAGCTCAGAGGCGAGGCCTGAGTGGAGCAGCGATGCGTCTGGTGCAGTTTCGCCGTCACAGCGATGGAGATGGCGTCAGGGTGGGAGTGGAGCAAGGCGAGGGGCTCGGCGTGGTGGATCTGAAGGCGTTCGACCCCTCCATGCCTTCCACAGTGCGAGAGCTGCTGGAGCTGGGAGACAAAGGTCTAGAGTGTGCACAGAGGTACCAAACAGTTTAACGTTGGGCGTCATTTTCTTTAAGCTTCCTCTTCTTCTCAACATAATTGTTTTTCTAATCAGAATCCGTCTGTTTTTAATTAATATTTTTAAATGCGGTCTTCTCAGAGCCTTGGAGTCCGGTCAGTGTCTGGTGGACAGATCAACCATCCAGCTGCTGTCTCCTATTCTGGCCCCAGAGAAGGTGGTGTGTGTGGGTATGAACTATAAGGACCACTGTCTGGAGCAAAATGCCCCCATCCCAAATGAACCGATCATCTTCAGCAAGTTTCCCAGCGCCATCACGGGCCCGTACCATGACATTATGCTGCCTCCAGAGAGCCAGGTGAGAGGAAGCAGACATCGCTGTTTGAACTGAACGAAATATTATTCTGGAAGCACTCGGTGGGGAACTGTGAGCTGCCATCTTAATAATCAATACTCCTGAACTTTGGAGGTTAAACTGACTGTTCAGTGAAAAACGCACGGAAAAAGACTGAAGCGAGTTCCTCTCATATTACCAGAATACCAGTCCAACTTCATATGCAGTGGAACCTGCATCATTTCTGATCTGTTTTTGTTGAAGAAATAAACTTTATGGTTGCATATTAAACTTAAAAAAAACATTAGGTTATTAAAAAAAATCCACTTTTTTTATTTTTAAGAGACCGTGTCAGTACAGTTGGCTACAAAATAAACAAGTATGTAATATTGAGCGTATGTTTTCAGAAGATACAGCAAAACCAAACAAATCCTTTTTAAAAGAGAAATAATTTAGTCAGTTTGAGTTTATATCTGTCAAAAAATATTCATCGCAATTTCACATATTGTACTTACCAATATTAAATAGCCCAAACAAATATTCTGCATTGTGCTTTAATAACATATGAAGAGAAAGCGAGCCTGTGATCGGAAGGTCGCCAGTTCAACTCCCCGGACTGATGATAAAAACATGGGTGGGAAAGGTGAAGCACCCTGCCTTTACCCTCATTTGCCCCACTGTGGACCCCTTGAGCAAGGCTCTTAACCCTCCAGCTGTTCCCTGGGCACCTGACATGGCAGCCCTCTGCTCCACATGTGTGGTGGGAAAAATGCAGAGAATTAATTTCTCCCCCCAAAAAAGTTATATTAAAAACATGCAAGCAAACAATTCCTAACACTCTTTTATTCAAACATTAGAAAATTTCTTACTTGAAAATAAAAAAGTTCTACTCAAATAAATTCAACACGAGTTTAGTGAAACTAAATATTTTGCTCAGAAGTTATACAATTGTAGCTGATCTGGACTGTAACGATCACAGGTGGCCACCAGGTGGCACTGTGGTACAAATACAACTACAGCCTTATTGTGGTTTATTAACTAAACGTTGATAGTAGAAGATTGTATTTGTAAATAGTTTTTTAGAACTTCAGTGAGCTTTAAAGAGAATACTTTTTGGTTTTACAGAGAAATGATAGATTTCTTCATGGAATACGGGCTCAGCAGGTCAGAGAATGTCAAATACAAAAGGAGTACATTTTTATTTTATTGTTTTGTGCAGAGAAGTGAAAGAAAAATGGGACTCGTACTAAAATTTTTAAATAAAAATGCATTAAATACTATGTTTTATTGCTCAGCAGTTCTACTTATCACCAAACAGACTTTTTGTTCTCCCATCAAAATCATAAAAAGGTCATGCAAATGCTCAGGTTCTTGTTTTGATTTCCTACGTGGATCTGCAGAACAGATTTGTTGTTCTTTGTGAAGGCTGATGGCAGGTCTGTCAATCCTGTAGCTGTCTCGGTTCTTCTCGTCAAGGCTTCAGTTTCTGGGAAGATGTAAAGTCCACTTTCAGGACTTTGATGGATCAAACAGCTGAGGTTGTGGACAGGGTTGTGTTGTTTCTGCAACAACCACATCCTTTAAATTGTAAAGTGGCATGTAAACAGGTGTCTCACGCACCAGGGAAATTAACACTGTGGAGGGAAAAAGAACTTCTTAAACATTTAGATGAGAAAAATGTAAACACTTTTAAAACATCTCCCTCAAGTCCCAGTACAGTGAAATAACACTACGGTACTCTATAAAAGTGCAAGACCAACAAAGCTCCATCACCTCTTTTATCTGTCGTCTGGTCATGCAGGCAACAGATCCAGGAGAGAAACCCAGACTTCCCTCTCCCCAGCTCTTCCTGGGGGACACAAAGGGTGTTCCCAGTAGATAATCCCTCCAGTGAGTTCTGAATCTTCCCCCGGGGTCTCTTACCTGCGAGACGTGCTTGGAAAACCTCCAAATGGAGTCGTCTAGGAAGCATCTTAATCAGATGCTCGACCCAACTGACTCATTCCGATGCGACAACGCAGCGGTTCTGCTCCGAGTTCCCCCAGAACGACGGAGCGTCTCATCTGATCTCAAAGGCTGAGCCACTCTGTGAAGGAAGCTCAGTTCAAGTGGTTCTTGTTCTTTCGGTCCTGATGACCGTAGGTGAGGGTTGGAAGGTAGACAGACCAGCAAATTGAGAGCTTTGCCTTTCGACTCACCTCTTTTTTTTCACTATGACTGACCGAAGCAATGCCCTCATTACTGAGGATGAAACCCCAATCGGTCAATCCATCTCTCGTCCCATCCTACCATCACTAGTGAACAAGATGCTCGGATACTTGAAGTCCTTCCCCCGACTTTATTGGACCATCGAGGACTGTTCTGTCCTGGACGGCAGCATCGACACCAATGTGAAGCTACGGTCGTAAATATTTCTGGTTTTTCCAGAGGAGGCACAGCAGGCGGCACTAAGATCTGGTGTTCTGTGGACGGTTTAAAACGATGAACAGTTTTCACAAAGAACAGAGCAGTTAGTATTTACATTTTTTTACGCAACGTGCGAGAAGTTAGGCTTTACTAAAATCCCCTCCAAGCTGCTAAAACTCAAGCGATCCAGTGGTGGTTTCTCTTCAACAACAGCTCCCAGAAACTTTTAACTTTTTTTTTTTTTTAATGGATAAAAATGTATGTTTGCTCCGAAGTTTCTCCCGCTGTGATCGACCATACAGTTTAGATTTGAGGGCGGCAGCGTCAGTCTTCATGATGCTTTATTTATTTTTTCATGTTCGAGTATGCAATCTGGCAGATACAGACCGTCAGGAATCTGTTTTGTGAGGAAAGTCCGATATTCAATCAGTGAGTGTGGTGCACGAATCCAGCCAGCTCAATTTATAAATCATCTCCACGAGGGAGCAAATATTGAGAGCTGAGCTGGAGTCAACAATCAGCATTCTGATGTAGCTGTTATCTACCAGCTGCACGGAGCTGGTCTTATTTAAACCCTGACAAATGGAGCCCAGTGTTCATTCTGCTATTGATGTGCACGTGGCGTTATCATGCAAACATCTTCTAACCTCTTGTGGTCTTCCAGCTACCGTCCCACCAGGTAAATATTGCAACAGTCTGTGTCAAAGTTTATGTCCACAAGCAGCAAAGAATCCACGTTTGACCTGCGTCACTGACCGAGTCGTGCATGTTTCCAGTGAACATGGAGGCAAAGACCAGAACCGTTTCAATAATTTGCTCTGAGCAGAACAAACTGTACTGATAGTAAAATATGTTTCATGCATCTTCAAAAAAAACCTGTGGCAAAAAATACCACTGTTAGTGTCACCACTCGGGGCTTAGGTGGAATTATGTCCGACTTGTGTATTTAATGAAAATGTGACGGGCAGAAGACAGTTCATGAACCAACAATGCTCTGAACACAAACCAGTCTGCCTACATACAGAATAACAGACAAGAAACGGAGGGTTTTAAAGGCGACCGTGACAAAACTCTAAAGTATTGGGCGATTGAACCAGAGAAGGCAATAAAATAAAAAAATATATACTGGTTTGTTTTGTAAAACTTTACAATCGGATATATTTGTAACATGCAAGGGTGTTGGGCTTGATTAGAAAAGTTGTATCCATCAAGCACAATGGGTCACGGTTCATAATTTTTTCTCAAACTCAACAAAACTTAAAAAAAAAAAAAAACCAACCACTTGACAGTTTGTTTCCATAATATTTCTATAGTGTGTATAAAGATTTACATTGTAGCCAACTTTACAGTAATACCAGTTATAAGGTGCTTTACATCAATAAAACAGATTATAAAATTCAGCATTAAAACAAAAACAATTGTCCTAAACACATTTTGAGAGCAGGTAGATTAGAAACACTCGGCGCTGTCCATCCTGACTTCAAGAAGAAAACTGGTCCACGTCTGGAACCTTAAGGAAAACAAGTCGTCTCTGGTTCTAAGATGAAAGCGACGAACCAGGAGGCCGTGGTTCCAAGACCTTGTGGGTCTAAAGGAGCGTTGGAGGGTTAAGAGGCTGATTGTTCAAATGTTTGACGACCAGGAGTTTGAACAGTTATTTTACAGGAAGTCAGTGTAGAGGTGAGCGCAGAGGTGTTGGTGAGAAGTCGAGGTCTGTAGGAAATCTCACATTCCTGGAACTGAAGTTTGTACAGTTGATGCATGCGTTAATCTTCGTGGAGTGGACTTTTAGTCTGGGGTACACAGGTACACATTTGGTGCTTCATCTTCTGTTTGACTCCAGGAGGTGGACTGGGAGGTGGAGCTGGCCTTTGTAATCGGACGAAGAGGAAAACTCATCAAGGTGAGCGTCTCTTCCTTCTGATCTGCACTCGTGAAGCATCTTGGAAGCCACTTCCTCCCCTCTTGTTAACCAGGAGGAAGACGCTCTCTCCCACGTGGCCGGGTTCACCGTGGCCAACGACGTCAGCGCGCGTGACTGGCAGATGAAGCGCAACGGGAAGCAGTGGCTGCTGTCGAAAACATTCGACAGCTTCTGCCCTCTCGGACCTGCTTTAGTAACAACTGACGCTGTGAAAGGTGAGAGGAAACGAGAAGGCAGAGGGGGAGGAGTGAGGCAGTCTGGTGATTCATGCAATTAACTGTGATTGCAGCGTCACAGACGAGCTACAATTAGAGGGAAAAACACGGTTCTCCAAACGTGTTCCACACGTGTGACAAGAAAAACAACCAGGCTCAAAGCAAAGCTGGAATAGTTTGTGTTTTAGCAACAAAACATCTAAACATGTGATCATAGACGTAAGTGAAGTTCAGCTGTAATTTCCAATTAGGCAAACTGATTCAAGTTTCTTCTGCTGCTCCCTACGGTGGCCCTGAGGTGTAAATGAACAACACTTGAAAAAAAACAGAATTCCATTAAGCCAAAGTGGAAGTGGCTGGAATCATATTTGGGGAAAAAAAAAATAAAAAAAAAAAATAAAAAATGGAATTAAGTGGTGATTAAAAAAAAAAATATTTATTAACAACATAAAACAACAGAACAATGTACAGTAACAAGTTCAGTAACATATGTGTTTTTTTAATTTTTTTAATTTTGGATTCTCAATTAAAAAAAGAACTGAATAAATTAGTACACCGACACCACACCTGTCATGAGAGTTTGTATTTGTATCTTGTTACTGTACAGAACTGTGTTGTTCTGTTGTTTTATTTTGTTAATAAAAAAAAAACAAAAAACACACGTTTGGATTAATTTCATTCAGTTTATTCAAATGTAATTCCATTTTTTCGAAAGTGTTTTTATTTATTTATTATTATTTAATTTAGTTTTTTGAAATGTAAATTCATTTTTCTCAAATATAATTTCGGCCACTTCCGCTTCGGCTTAATGTAATTCAGCTTTTTCAAATGTAATTCAGTTTTTTTTTTCAAATGTAAAACCATTTTTTCAAATGTTTTAAAAACATTTTTTTTTTTATTTAATTTCATTTATTGAAATGTAATTCCATTTTTTCAAATGTTCATTTACACTTCTGGGCCACCGTACTTGTCACTCCTATGGAAAACCTCAACATCTTCAGCTCTAGCCAAATTGATCAAGCAAGCAAAGTTCATGCTCGATAATCCAGGTAAGAAAATCCATCAATGTTCAGTCAGGTCATCTGGACAGTTTCTGTTTTTGTTGAGACGTTTCGTCCTCCATCCGAAGGGCTTCATCAGGCTGAGGAGTCGCAAACAAACTGTTTTCCCCACTAAGCAGTGCACTCCTACAGTGGACCAACCAGTTTGTTGGTGATGAGATGGTTTTGTCTCTCAAAAAAAAAAAAAAACAAAAAAGAAAACTGTCCAGATGATCTGACTGAACATTGTTGGATTTTCTATCTGGATTATTGAGCATGAACTTTGGTGTCTTGTACCAGTTTGGCAGTGGCTGCCTGGGAGGAGAGGACAGCCCCAGAAACCATCTTATCACCAGCAAACTGGTTGGTCCACTGCAGGAGTGCACTGCTTAGTGGGGAAAACTGTTTGGATGGAGGGTGAAACGTCTCAACAAAACAAAGAAACTGTCCAGATGACCTGACTGAACATTGTTGTTCAAGCCAGGCCCAAAAATGATCTGAGAGCACCAGAACCAAAGTTTTGAACCAAACCGTAAATAACAAGCTGCATAGAATGAGTTAGAGCGGTTTTAAAGTGGGGGACCGGTCCCCTGGGGGGTCACCAGGGGGGCCTCAGAAAGCTGGAGAGAAGATAAAAAAAAAAAGAAGTAATAATAATAATAAAAATTGCACACTAGGGCAATTTGTATCTGTCATTTCCAGATAAACACGCTTGAGAAAGAGGTTAGATTTCTTTTGTTTTGTTCTGGTCAACAGTTTGTTGAAAAGTTGTTTTTTTCAGTGGGAATATAATCCAGTGTTTAAAACATGTTAACATTTTAATGCTCAGCAGCTGTAATAATTAATTTAATATAGTGAATACAAGTTAAAACATTCTAAAAGTTGACGTTTCTTTACATATTTTGTAACATTGTTTGTGGGTTTGTGAGGGGAGTCTTGGCCAGAAAGGGGGGGGGGGGGTGGTAATAGCATGGAAAAGTTTGGGAACCCCTGAGTTAAAAGTATCACTAATTGCACACTATTTGCATAGTATTGCATACTAATACGTAAAACTAGTTTCAGCTGTAAAGGAGAGTACAACTTGTTAATGTGGTCACTTCATTATCAACAGACTTTAAAGTGTGCCCCCCCCCCCCCCCCCCACTGCCGTCTCCTCAATTATTTATTCTGTTTACAATACTCCGCATCAATTTATGCTAATGTGCTAAATTTCAGTGCCACTTCATTGTTTAACAGCATCAAGTTCCACCATTTCAAACAGTTTTAATACCTCTCCTGCATGATGTTTAGACCCTCACAACCTGGGCATCCGCTGTCTTGTTAACGGAGAGACCGTCCAGAGCAGCAACACGGACCAGATGATCTTCAAGACGGCAGCGCTGATCGCGTGGGTCTCAAAGTAAGTCGGTTTGGAAGTCTTTAGCAGGTGCAGATTAAGATTTTGAGCCTCGAACTTCACCGTCAACCACACAGCGACTCTTTGAGCTGGTGCAGTTTGCTCACATTTAAATATTTAATGCATGAATTTGCAAATCCACCTGCCCATATTTATGTAAATAACTGCCAGGGCAAGAACTGATGGGGCTAAAAGATGTGCCGTGATTTGATTGTCACGTGTCTGTTTAAAAATGATCAAAACAAATTCAATGAATGCACAAATGAAAGCAAAAGCCCTCCTTTTATTACAGACTGAGCTGAAATTTCATGCTTCAGCTTAGACTTCTCATTAGTGGCACTCTTTCTTGTAAACTGTCCAACCGACTGGAACGTTCCTGATCAGATTTAAAATATTGGAACAATGAAGTCTCTCTTTCCTCTTCCTGGATTATTGGCGACAATGCCCAGCTCGCCACAGTTTACTAAACCTACATGTAGTAGATTTCACCGTAGTTATATTTTTGTTGTCTAGTCTGAACTTGGAAATATTGCGATCTGAAGAAAGTAAATCAGTATTATTTAACGTGAAAGCTGCACGTTTGTAGTCGTTTTGATGATGCCATTCCTTCTGGTTTCTTTCCTTCCTTAAGGTTTGTGACTTTAACTCCAGGAGATGTTTTCCTGACCGGTACTCCTCCAGGTGTGGGCGTTTTCAGAAATCCTCCCATCTTTCTCAAGGTGATTCATGCACGACACCAACCCAACAGAATGTTATGAATCCACTTTTTCTTTATTTAAAAATGACCTGAATGACCACAACCCCCTGAACTGATTGTACACACTGATTTATTAAATCACACATTCAAAGAGTGTTTGGGCAGAAAATAAGGGACATTATCTCGTTTAAACCATCCCTAAAGTCAGGCGGGTTAAGATCACAAAGATGTGTAGATCCTGTTAAATTCTTGACCTGAACTCAGAACTTTGTTTAAATTTCAAGATTGTTGATTCAAAAATTCTTGAGGATTTTATTGCAACCAAGACAGTTCAATAAAAATATTAAAACATCAGCACCTTTCTAGTTTAACATTTCAGTTTTAACAGACTAAAAATACACCTTTTGGCTTAGCAGTTGTGAATATTTGAGTCATTTGTGATAAATGAAGCTCCTTCTGAAACATGAAACTTGAAAACTGATAATTTCTACGATTGCCAGTGGATTAAAACTCATTGTGCTAATGAGATTTTTTTTCTCTCCCCCCCCCCCCCAGAGAGGAGACGTGGTGGAGTGTCAGATCGACCAGTTGGGCTCCATCATCAACAAAGTCGTTTGAAGCCCAAAACGACGACATCAGCTCTTTGATAAACTGCGTTTCTGTCCTCTCAATGATCAAAACCAGCCGGGATAATACAAACGCCCACATGTTGGTTGTTGTTTTATTTAGACGACCAATGAGGAGGAAAACGTGGTATTTTTACTACATGGAACTATGTAATTAGTGACTCAACCTACTGACTCAGAGAGCGCATCCATCAGCAGCCACCCCCTCGTTCAACACAAGCCTTGAACTTCTCAGCTTATCGTAGCACACATTAATAAAACGTAATTCCAGTCAGCTTTTTATTATATTTTTTACTAACTTGGGGGATTATTCTCATATAAAGACAGACGATTGCTCGTAATGAAAGGATTAGATAAAGAAAATTATACTGCCTGAGGGAAATTTCTTACTTTGAATTATGATTTTATATTAGCAAAAAACCACAGAAGCCTTATTTTTAGTGAAAAAGTCCAGTAATAATTGTATCTGTACGGTGTTTCAGAAATGTGAAGAGGCGAACTTTAATATTTAGGTCTGACCATTAAATCTCCAGGGATGTATAAAAAAGATAAGACGCAGGATTGGGTGGCAGTAAAAGGAACAGATTTAAGCAACAATTATTGAAAATGTAATAAAAACGAGGTTCGTTACCGACACAACGTTAAATGATCCTCAAGGCAGAATTATTAGAACAGGTAGACGTTTCTTGGATATTTTAGTGTTTAGATTTTGAATTTAAACAAACAGTTATACAACTACAGGAAACTTTCGTGATTTGAATTTAAAAACTCACTGCCAAATAAATGTTACAAAAGCTTTTATGTTGTCTCTTTCATGCACCTGAGCAGCTTCTCCATCATCAGTGTTTGCTTTTATACTTTTCAGCTGTGAGCAGCTAATTTCATGTAGGACTTTTGTAGAAAAATCAATCAGAAGCTCAAACAGATTTCAAAATCAAAGTCTACTTTAAGATGATTACCAGATCTGTTGCTGTTCAAAGTCAAACCTGCTCCAGGTTTTGTGAAGAGCTGTGAGTTTTCAGGATGTCCAGCTTGGACACCAGGTGGCAATAACATCTCGTTAAGAGCTGCTGCAGCTTTGTGCTCCACTGGAAGGTGAGGAACAGCCGCACTGACTCCACAAACAGCAGCTGCACAGAAAAACTCAACGCCTGCCAAAAAACGTCCCCATCATAACGAGGCATCGATTTGTCTCCTGGTGGTGATGTCCAAAGGTCCGCGTCAACAAGACTCCAGAGGTCTGACTCAGCAGAGGGTGATCGACATTCAGAAGAGCTGCTGCAACGAGCTGCGTGGTCAGATATCTAATAGATGCTGTAAAAACGGTGCTTGGGCACGAGTTGTATTTATCAAAAGAGAACACGTGTTTATTGTCAGCTTGATTATTATTTGTCTTGACATGTTTTACATGCAACAAACAAAACGTGAGCTGCTCCCATCACAATAAAGTCCCAACAGCTGATTACAGAGACTTTGTAATCCTCTCCTGCAGAATTTTGCTAATTCTGTTACCGTAACCAACGTAAAATCACTGTTACATCATTAAAAAAGGAAAAATAAAATGATGAACGGAAAGACAAGCGCCTTAACTCCTCGTGGGTCTTTCTTTTTCAAAATGAACAAAGGCTTCGTGACACGAACAGAAAACGAGGTCAGTTTTTGCAACAGAACAAAGCAGAGACGAGGCCTTGAGTCATACTTAACTGCATTAATTGTAGAGATACTGAGAGATGAAGCGGTGCAGTTTCTCTCTGTTCTCTGACAACTGGAACAAAGGACTAACACCCAGGAAGTTGCCTCCCGTTTGACGCTTCTCCACAAGGACCTGAAAAACAATGAGTGTAAATTTAGCAACATTAGAGGACACTCCAACAACAGCTCTTTTTGTTTGATAACCTGTTTTTGAACATTAAGAGGATTCAGCTTTTTTTTTTGCATGAGGCTGAATAAAAAACTGAAATAACAGTAAAACTTTTCACATTACCTCAAAATTTGATAAAGGAAACAAAGCTCAGTTCAGTAAGTAAGACCTGGAATAACGAGGCGAACTGAAGGAGACAAACGTCAGGCTGAGCAGTCCTTTCTTTTATTTCACTGTTACAGAGCAGAGTCCATACATCCATTATCTTCACCCGCTTCTTCCATTTTGGGTCACGGGGGTCGCCGGTGCCCATGTCCAGCAATCACTGTGCGAGGGGCGGGGTACACCCTGGACGGGTCGCAAGTCCATAACAGGGCCACATAGAGACAAACGAGACAAACAACCATTCACTCTCTCACTAAGAGCAGAGTCACATCTCTGATTTGACTTATAGGTCTTTAGTTACCACGCCTGCTCGACATGAGACACCAAAGACGAGGCTGATGACTGATAACCTCGATAACAAAGCTAATAACTGACTCAAGGGATCTTTGCAGATATATGGGTCAATGATGCTCTATTTTTAAAGGAATCGACTCCCAACCAGCAGCAGAGACTGAAGGGGACAAACAGTCAAGCTGATTTAAAAGGCAGCACGCATGGGATTTGAACGGAAATGCTCATTTGTGAATAAAATAATCTGCATCTTTGCACTTTTCTTCTAAAGTCTTCCTTTTACATTACCATATTTTCCTGGCTATAAGTCTCACCTTTTTGCCTAATTTGCATACCCTGTGACTTACACGCCGAAGCGACTTATTTATGTTTTTTCCCATATTTTTAAATCAATTTTTGGCTGAGATATGACCGTTTTTACTCATTCTGACATGGAAAATATTGAACACTACCATTTTCAGCCGCTAGATGGCACTTGAGTAGTATGGCATGCCGTTGTGTCATGTAATAGGCAAAAGTGGCTATTAATGACGCAAGCGGCTTGCTAGACTGCCACCTTCTTCCAGCTCTGGGATCATGCCTATGCCTATCATCATATGTCCCACCACGCTCTCTGAGGTCAGCAGACCAGATGCTTCTCTCAGTCCCAGAAACCCGTCGTAAGCTCAGAGGTGACAGGGCTTTCTCTGTTGCAGGTCCACGACTGTGGAATGAGTTGCCACTGAGTGTCCGGCAGGCTCCCACACTCTCAGTCTTTAAGTCTCGCTTGAAGACCCACTTCTATTCGCTTGCCTTTAACACGGTGTGATTTGTTTTGGTCCGGTCTGTTCTCTACTCTGTTGGCCATTTTAGTTAGCTTCTGCTGCTATTTGTATCTGTATTTCTATTTTATGTTTTCCTGTCTGCTGTGCATGTTTGGTTCTTTTGTACAGCACTTTGGTTGGCCTTGTTGCTGTTTTAAGTGCTATATAAATGAATTGGTATGGTATGGTATGGTATGGTATGCCTGGAGCAACCGTCAAATCAGCTTCATTTCGCTGCGTTGCCCTGGCAAAATGAAGCTGATTTGACCATTGAAGTGCATTTATTAAGTAAAAGTTCAACTGAGACATACCTGTGCTATAATGTCAAGCAAACAAATAACTGTTTTAGGTGCTTATCTTGTTAAATTTTGAAGAAATGTGCAGCGTTCCTCCTTCCTGATTTCCTCCCTCTGCGAGCTCCCGGAGCACCGAAGCAGTGAATACTTTTGATGCGTAACAAACGCGATGCGCCAGCGGTGACGCACAATAGATGCGACGCATATGGTGAAGGGACGTATTTATGTTTTTTTTTCTTTCCACTTTATTAGTTTATTTATTCCTTTTTGTTGTTATTTTGTTTTGATTGATTTGATTTGTAAAAAAAACAAACAAACATAAACTTAAATTTGTATGCCTATGCTTATTTTATGACTATTGTTGTTGCTGTTATTCACTGTTGTCATCGCTCTTTATTAAGAAATCAGGGCTCTCTTGTAAATGAGTCCCCGAGGCTCAATGGGATTAACCGTATAAATAAAGGTTGAATGAATTAGACATATTTGGACTGATGTGACTTATATGGCGAAAAATATGGTAAGCGTTTCCCGGTTAGAGTGGATCAGCCAAGCTTCCCTTAAGAGTTGTCATTAATCTGTGCTGCTGTTTGTAAAATCTCAGCAGATGGAAACAACAGATGCCGTATTCTTATCTGCAAGAAAAAACATTTTCTCTTTGACTTTATGAAAAACAACTTTTACCATCTACAGAACTGCCACAGTGTGATAATCTGTCACAATGAACTTGCAGACTTTTATCTGTTCCCTGGAAAGTCTGCGTTTAATCCTCACTTCACTGTGTGAGGGGAGTGTTTTCATATCAGGTCATCTCACAACACACAGGAAAAAATATCAGAGGAGCTTTAAAAATATCTTTCCTTACTTGTTTAACCCCAGTCAAGTATGCAGATAATTTCCTTTAGTAAAATCAGCAATAAGTCTGGAAAAATTAAGATCTTCCAACTTCTAATGTGAGACTCCAAAATCATAATTTATATGTGATGTTTTGAATTTAGATTTCACAGGACAAAACTGGTAAAGAGGAAAAACTGGACTTCCAGACTCGTGCATTTGTTACCAGTGAGGTATTGAGCTATTTTTAGTTGTAATTTTACAAATAAACTACAAGCATTTAATGTAAATAAAGTGTCTAAAATACACAGGAACTAAAGCTTCCATATGAATCCTGAGAGGAAGCTGAAGGGTGCATTAGGGTCCCACTGGTGCTGAGGAAAATCATGTACGACTAGATGGTTTAAATCTAGTGGAGGATGTCAGGAGAAGAGCTCATTAGAATGAGCAGAAACCACCCGAGTTCCACCTGGATTAAGATAACTATTTAATACAGTTTTACTTCATCTATTTATTTAAAAGGACAGTGCCCATTCATGAATAATTATGTAATAATACACAGTAATATAAATGCGCCACAATTAGCTACATTTAGTTTGTTGTCCTTAGGCAGGTAAAAGAAATAAAAACATAAATCATAAATCTGTTTTAAAAGAAAATGTCAGTAAAGAACATCACTGACCATTTTATGAAGATGCTCCTGATATTCTTTATGAAGTTAAAGTGTACGCTGGTGAAGATTCTTGGTCATCTGTGTCATGATCAATTGATCAATTTAAAAAAAAAGGTTGAAAAATAAAAACAACTGGACTTTTATTCTGAAGGTGAAGACGTTTCACTTTCCATCCGGGAGGTTTTATCAACTCAAACATGTTTGAAGTGTGTGGAGATCCAAACTTTACAGAACTGCAGAGAGGCCTCGTTATGGACTTAGTCACCTGCAGATTAGACTGGAACTACTCGCCCTGCACAATGGAGTCTCGTTAGGCTCTTTGGTTTATAACCTTGTTTTGATTGATAATGACCTGGATGATTGAGAAAGGTCACCCGCGTATTCTCCATGAATGCACGTTCAGATCCTGCCCGTGAACTTCAGAACGAGACTCAGCAGTCCATCTACATCTCAAAGATAAGGGACACTCTTTTGACAAACAGCATGTTCATATTTTAGACAGAGGAGACAGATGGTTTGAGAGGGGAGAGATGGAAGCCATTGATGTCGAACGATAAACAATATATTTAATAAGATGAGGAGCACTGAGATTTCAACTTTTAAAAACTTACAACGCAGCATTAGGCCTGATTCCAGGTCAGCTGCACTTTATGCAGATGACCAAAACATCTTTCTGTAAGCCAGGCAGACAAAGAGTCTCCACTAGGAGGGCTGAGGAGTTCCAGTCTGATCTGAATGTGAATCTAGGTACATAAAGCACCTGAGCAGGACAGACAGAACTGTAAGAGCCATGTTCCTTGACTTTTCCAGTGCTTTTAACATCACAAGACCTGCTCTACTCTGCAGTAAGCTCCTGAACATGCAGGTGAATGACTCGCTGGTCACCTGGATCAGAGACGACCTCACAGGTCGGCCACAGTACGTGAGGCTGCAGAACTCCACCTCGGACACCATACTGAGCAGCACAGGGGCTCCTCAAGGGACGGTCGTCTCGCCGTTAGCAGGGTGAAGAAAGCTGATGCCAACAGACTCGATACCCATCAAGCGAGCTGGCTCAGTTCTGGGAGTGGAACTGCAGTCTCTGACAGAGGTGTCTGAGGAGAAGATGCTGAGGAAACTGCTCCAGATCCTGAACAACACGTAACACCCCCTGCATGACACCCTGGACTCTTACCGCAGCACCTTCAGTCATAGACTGAGACCACCGAGGTGCTCCACAGAACAACAGAGGAAGTCCTTCCTCCCTGTGACTATCAAATGTTTACACTCCTCCCCTTTCTGCACATAGGACAATAAAAAATAATCCTGTACTACAATAAACACTTTAATGTTTTCACATTAAAACATTTCACACATGTCTGCACCTGACCTGTTTAGATCTTAATTGATGGTATTTTTATATTCTCTGTTATTTTTTTATATCTTGTGTGATTCCTTGTACTGAAACTCTGGCACAACAATTTCCTGCAGGATCAATGAAGTTCTATCTTATCTCTTATCTCATCTTATAACCAGACCTCTCATGCAGATCTGGCAAGCTTTTATATTTTATAAGCTTTTAGTTAAATGTTTTACTTTCTGTTTTTATCAGCTGTTCTTATTGTTTTGTTTATTTTAAACCAATATCTGTATTTTTGTAAAGCATTTTATGATTTTGTCTATGAAAAACACTATATAAATAAAATTTACTTACTTATAAAGCTGGCAACTCCGCAATTTTCAGACATTTTTTAATTGATAAAGCCTCCTGGATGGGAAGCGAAACGTCTTCAACTTCAGAATGAAAAGTTAAACAACATCCAAATTTATTTTTTGTTGGACATGGTTTTTTTTTTAGTTTAAGTGTATTTATCTTAAAGACAAGTTTGGGAACATTTTGAACGTGAATTCATATTAAAATCAGCCAATAGTTGTAGAAAACAACAAATCTGGTCCACATGAGACCAGTGTTGTTAATTAAAGACCCCGCAGCTGATGGTAGTATCTCCCTGGGATCTGACTGCGAGGGACTCTAGAGCGTCTCTAAACACTCCCCAGCTTCTCATTTTCCTCGTGTGAGCCACAGAGTCACACATTCTTGTTGCCTGAGTTTTAAACATGTTCAAAAATATAAAAAACAGTTTTCCAAGCCGTGTACACAAACATTAAAACGTGATTTTTTTATTTATTTTTTGGCTGCTCAAATGTGATCTTTCAGCTTGCTGGTCGAAAACACTCAGAATTTATTCAGACTGAAAATGAAAATTTGACTGTTTTCTCCCAATTTTGAGTCTCCAACATTTGCGAGACATCTTTTGAGACATTTTCCAGGAACTCACTCATGCTCTTGCCAAAGTGAATTCTCCTACAGGCAAATGTTCAGGCTCACATCTTCAAATCAAGACCGATACAAATCTGTTCATGCTGAGTTTAGGCTCACATTTTGAAGAAAAATGGTTGATTGGTTATTCATAGATTCAAACAACATTTTAAATAATCTTCACAGGGTTTTTATACCCCACCCCACAAAGCACTTTATTAAAGAGCACATATAATCAAACTGTGGTTGCCTTTCTTCAACAAATAAAGATGGTAGAAAATAAAAGGTAATTTATTTGTAATATTTAGAGAAGGCAGAAAAATGAAAGAAATGCAACAAAGTTCCACTAAACCTAAATAGACCTAACTTCCTGTATAGTTTGCACTAACATGAATCATCTTTTGACAAAATTATTTCAATTTCAAATGTTTGTTAAAAATGTCAGATATCGATGCACTGAAGAAGGCAGTCTACCAAAATTAGTCAGCCTTCAATAATAATAAGTATAAAATTCAGTTCAATTCAGGTTATTTATATAGCACCAAGTCACAACAGAAGTTGTGTCAGGGCTCTGAACAAAAACATTCACATACATAAAAAAGCTAATTAGTAAAAGTTATCTAACTAAGGAAAGCAGCAGATTGCGCTGAATCTTCACTTCGTCACAGTCTCCCATCCTGAAAATCCCAAATTAAAATAAACCCCAGGCCTGGATTCAAAGACACAATGAAGCCTTTTAAAGTGCCTTTAATTTAATTTAGAGCTTTATATCAAAGACTAATAAATCAGCTAGAAAGTAAAAAATATATTTCAATTATGTTAACAAATTTTCTAACACTTAAAACACCACTTTAATATTCAAACATTTTCAATCACTTGTTTAGAACCCCGTCTGTGAGCGGACGACCGTTAGAACCAAACTCCAGGACTTGATTCGGTCCAGAGTTGAGCTGTAATTCTGCACCAGCAAATTTCAACACACACACACAGAGGCTGTCACTCACCCCGAGGTCTATTAGTGTTCTAACTGCAGTGTGTGCCGCCTCCTTGGAGCAGCTCTCTGTGAGATAGAGCACAAAGGCACACATGAATCAAAAGAACAGGCAGATTTCCAATATAGAAAATGAGGTCGGGATAACAGAACAAAGCCACTACCAGTGGGACTGTAATTTTTATACTATGTATTATTGAGGGGTGCCATTTGGGTGGATTCTTTCTGTCTTGTGTGTTATTTCAGTAATGTGAGAGCCTGAGATGAGAGTTTGGGAACTGCAGGGGCTTTTCTCTTTGGCTTCGGTAGATTTATAAGAACCCACACTGAATCATAGAGAAAATGGAAGGTGACAAGCTTTTAAAGGTATGACACAAAAAATACGGGATCGCTGAGCGAGAGTGAGTTTTTGAAAATGTGTGTCAGGTCGAACTCACCATAGTGCTGCTTCTTCTGATTTGCTGTGTCACAAAGATGGGAGTGTACCCAAGACACAAACTCAGCCTCTGCAGCAGGAAGGACAAGAAAATAGAGGCATTACTCCAGGAAAGCAAGGCAACGACAGCCTGTTGAGATAGTAGATGGACGTTTTTATGCTTCACTGTCCTGCTTCCATATTATATGTCTGTGGCTGGTTCAGCAGGTCACTGTAGATGGCTAAGGGTGAAAGATAAACATCTGAGCAACATCAATATTCATTTCATCTCCACAGCTACTCCAATATTTTGATTTTAAAGCGAGTATCAAATCCAATCCTTTTCCCTTTTTTGTCTGAACCTAATTAAAAGATAATTTCCTAGATGATATGAAAGAGCTCGTAATTACACATTGATTAAATATAATAACTTCCCCTAAATCAGAGTATTCATACCAGCCATAGGAGCATCCATCAGGTCCAATGTCTTGATGGTCCAACAGAGTGCACTCAAATGTCCAGCCAACATGCTGCAGAGGAAGAAGAGCATGTCCGGACACTGACGTGGCTGACTTATCTTGGAAAAGGAGAGAGTAAGCAAAGTAGAAGAGCCCAGAAAAAAAATAATCAAACTGAGAAAGGGTAAAGTATCTCCATTTCAGAGCAAGTTGTTAAAAACTGTCAGGAGGACAAAATACAACAGGATGCAGTTATATAACATCTAAAGTTTTATGAAGATTTTTAAAATGGGTTCAGGTTTTTTGTCCCCACCACAAAGTAGTCACACATCAAGTGTTTTAAAGTAACATTGAGTGGAAATGGAAAAATGGAAACGTGAAGACATTGTATATGTGGAGAAACGTGCAGCGAACATGGTATAAGTAAGTTTTACTGTAGTTTTTGTACTCTGTTCTTTGGTACAAAGCTTGGGTAATGAAAAGTTTACTCGACATGTTTAGTGATGATGCATATGTGTACAAAGTTTTAATTAAATTGTCTTGAGCGGATTATAGGCGTGACAAAAGAAAGTTTATGTACAGAGACTATACATAATACGTCCGTTTTTCGATGGGCATATAGAAATTAAAACCTCAGTACCAAATCGGCTCTGTGGAACAAAGCTTTCAGTATTAATCAGTGATCTTTCCTCAAAGACAGATGTTTTTACAGGGATATTTCAGCCATACTGATAAAGCAGTGCTTGTTATGACAACTTTAATTTGTTCTAAAGTCAAATGGCATACAACTGTTTACCACCTCACAACTGCTCCAACCACTAGGCCTGTCGCGATAAACAATAAATCAATTAATCGCATGATAAATGAAAATTATTGACCTCATTTTCATTTATCGACTTTATCATTTCTTCGTGTCTCTCTTTCTACTGAAGACATTGGATGACAAAAAAAAGGTACTACACTGTAAAAAAAATTCTGTAGTTTTTACGAAAAAAAACTGGCAGCTGCGGTTGCCATTTTAAATTTGTTAAAAAAACACTAAACATGTAAACAGTTGTACAGAGTTAGCTGTAACTTCAACAGTTTTATGATGTACAATTAACAAGCTATTTTGTAAACCTAAATACATTTTCAATGTACATTATACAATATTTTAATGTAAAAAATACAAATTAAACAGTAAATTCTACAGATTATTTTATGTAGATGTACATTAAAAATGTGTTTGGGTTTACAATATATATTGGAAATTCTACATAGTAAATCTGTTGAAATTACAACCAACTGTAAAACTGTTTACATGTTCATAGTATTTTTTTTACAGGTTTATTCTGGCAACCACAGCTGCCAGTTTTTTTTCGTAAAAAGTACATTTTTTTAACAGATTTATTCTGATAACCACAGTTGTAAGCTTTTTTTTTTTTTTGTAAAAATACAGGTTTTTATAAAACATTTTTTAAGCATTTTTATTTAACAAATTAGCATGAACATGTCACTGTTTTACAAACAAAACAAGACTTACCCAAACAAATTTCACATATGTTAGACTCAGCCTTAGTGAAATACAAAAAATAAAACATGTTAGAATGCCTTTCAAATACTAAAATTAAATTAAAACTAAATTAATTAAAACTAAACAAAGTTTTTCTCATCTGTTTATGTAAAAAAAAAAAATGAAAATGTAAAAATAAGAACAGCTTCAAAAAACGTAATGAAACATTTATGTTTTTTACTTAATCATTGTTTCCAAATTTTTGAATTCAACCAAAATACCAGAATAGCCAAACTGTCTGTGAAAACTAACAGACAAAATAACTTCAGCCACATTTACAGCTGCCCTCTGTTGCTTGTGTTTCAAGTTATAAACAGTGCCACACACAACTGCCCTGTGTTCATATTTTAACAATACAAAACCTTTAACCTTTTAAAGGCTTTTCTAACAAAATCAAAAGATCTATACACTGATCTATAGTACCGGAATGTAAAAAAAACAAAAAAAAAAAACAGCAATGACACTATAACAAATGTTATCTTTTTTGCATTGTAACTCACAGGTTTAGTCCATACTCAGACATCACGCCACTCATGATCTGAGAGCTCCTGGATTAACGTGAGGACTCTGGGATTCACATGAAGACGGGATGTGCGGGTCTTTTCAACTTTAGTGCCTTTCTCTAGGTTGATTCCAAAGAAGCACCTAAAAAAATACAAAAAAATAAAATAAAAATCAGAGCTCATAATTTATATAAGGGTTTTCGGTAGATAAACCTTCAAACAAAGTGTTAAAATAAAGTCATAAGTTGTCATGTAACTCTTAGTTTTCTGGACTTTATTTTTTTTTCTCAGACAAATTAAATATATTGACCCTTTGCACCCACGTGACAAAGTCACGCCATGACGTTTCATGAAAATAAAATTTGAAGCGGAGTTCAAAAAAATAAAAATGGTATATTGTTTGTTACATCCATCTGCAAAAGGGAGGAAAATCAATGTCATTAATGGTCTAACAACTTGACATGTCAGCGAGATTGATTTCTATCATCTGTAAAATATAAACAAGTGTGTTTAACCATCCTGATTTGAGCGGATCTGTCCCGCATGAGGAGGTAAGGAGCTGTGAGCTCAGGTCGGGCGGTGTCAGTGCATCGGAACCACAGAAACCAAACTGCACGCAGCAGCAGGCTGCAGAAATGTTTTTCTGACAGCATAAACTCATGGAAACTGTTAGAAACGTGAAGAGAGTTTAAAAAATGCTGACAACGTCTCGTTGAGAATAGAAGCTAGGCTAAAAGTCAGGTGTTTATTAACAGATAACATCAGCACTCCATGTCAAGACCACTCTGTCTGTCCATTTTCTCATCTGGGTCGGGTCGCGGGGACAGCAGAGAGACCCAGACTCATTGTCAGTAAATTACAGATTCCCCTCCCCCTTTCTGCGTTTATGGACGTATCTGACGTCTTTTTTTGTTTGTTTTTTATTTATTTTCCAAACATCCATCATTCTGCTTCATCCGGAGTCAGGTTGTAGCAGTTTGAGCAGGGAACAGAGTAGAACTCTTTCCCTAACCCCTCTGCTCTTCTGGGATTCCAAGTTGAGACTAGAGTGTTTTTATAAGCACTCGTCTTCAAATTTATTTTAGTCTCAGACTGTAGGATTTGTAAAAAAAAAAAATCAAACAAACAAGAAACAAAACAAAAACAAAACAGTAACTAAATAAAATTAAATGACCATCTCCCAAGCCGCTCTGCACTTCGTCCTCTCCTCCTCTTTGCTGTATGTGGTCGGATCTCCGGTCCGTGTTCTGGCTCTACCCGCGGCTCATCCGCAGTCCATTTCTCAGCCCCCCAGTCAGATTGTGTGTGAGTAACGTGGACTTTTTGCTTGGAGGATTGTTTGTAAGAGTGTGTGTGTGTGCGTGGGTTTGTATTGTGAGGACCCACTGTCCATCAAATGTCTTTTTTGACTAACTGTATAGGAGAATACGCTAACAATAGATTGTTTCTGACGTCCATCATGGCGAAGATGGGCGGTCTTTTGGGGTGCGTGACATCACGTGCAAAGGGTCAATAGGATCAAACAAATAAAAAGCCATATGATGAAATAGCAACCTGTCTATAGACAGATACACCTCTTGCCCATTGACCCCTTGAGATAGGAACTGTAACAAGTGCAAATAAAAGATGACTGACTGACAAACCAATAAAGAGAAGAGTAACTCACCTCTGAAGACATTCCAGAGTTGATGCAAGTCCTGATGGGTAGTGGATGTTGAAGCAGTAATAGCTGCCAAACGTCATGCAAAGGGCAGAAATGAAGGAAGGGATGTTGTCGTGCACAATATTCCGATCCAAACTCAGCATAAACCGTCTGGCAGCAAAGCAGGACTGTCCTAAAAAATGAAGAAATGGGCTTGAATGAATGAACTTGTGTCAAAACGGAGCAAAATAAGAGAATAAAAAATGTAATAAAGCAGAAAACAGAAGGGAAACAAAGAAGAAACTATGAAAAACAGGACATCAAAAAATAAAAAAGATGGAAGTACACAGAGACAAAAAAAACTTAAAAGAAAGACACAGGATTCAAAAGTCCTTAACTTACCACACACAATGATGGTGGGTGTCAAGTTGACTTTGTCCATCTGTACTTCTCGTGCCAAGCATGTGTCCTCCACGTAGAGAAACATAGCATCTTCCTTTTCATCGAAGTAACTCATCAAAAGCAACACCATCTCTTTAACATCTTCAGAGCATCCACTCATCTCTCCCCTTATCACCTTCAACTTTGTGTGGGCCTGCAGGAACCTTCTGTTTTTGGTCACACTAACCGTGCTCATGTAGTTCAGCAGCCGTCTCCCCTTACGTTCCAAGTTTTGTGTGAAAGTTTCTTTCAGCTCCTTTCCAGTAAGTATTTTAAAGTGGACTGCCATACCAAGCTCCTGAAACCACAATGGCCACTCTTTGAGGAGATCTTTGATATCTTTCCCCTGGTTGACATCTCTACGTTGTGTGTAGAAAGACTTCTCCATTAGCTGTTTGACCTCCTCTGGATTTGGATCCTTCATTTGAGACAATATCTTCAAATTTTCTTTTTTGTCTTCCTGGCTCTCTGTAGTTTCTCCAAAAGGCAGGAATTTCAAATTCCAGTTGATGCACCCATAGGTGTCCTGGACTGCAGCCTTCTGTTCTGGAGGAATCTCGTCTGTGTCAGAGTCATCAGAACGATGCTTTCGTTTTCTTATTTTAGGGGTTGTAGATCGTTTCACATTGTCCAGTCTGTTCTGTAACTGCTTCACTAGTGAGTGATAACCTGGTCCAATCACATCTCCCTCTATTACATCCTGTAGAGACTTGGGATATTTGGCCACCATCTTTTTGGCAACTTCTGTAGTGCCTCTTTTTCCTATGGAATAACTTTTTTTCATCATCTCAGAGATCACAATTCGCACCATCTCCCGTCTCAGTCTAGGACTTGGCCGTTTACCTCTCTCCAATGATTGCATTAGCTCCTCCGGAAACACATCCCACGGTATCACAAAGTTAGCACCCCAGTCAATTTCCAGACTCTGATTGCTGTTGGAGGAGACTGATGATGAACTTTGGGGTGATAAAGACTGTAAAG